CTTTGATGCCAGCCACAACTGCAAACTACACAGGCTGCTGTATCTACTATCACTTAAAGATTTTGCAGTTATGATTCATTACACTTGCAAATAATAAATGTCACCAAAAATAGCCTACTGATACATAGTACAATTACTAGGCAAAATAATGCCAGATGTTGAGAATACGAGAGCAACTACTATACCTATACAGAAACTCCTCCTTGTTAAAATAAGAGGAATCTGGCAGAATATTGATATTTTGTGAAGGAAAATAGAAGTTAAATGGAAACCACAACTGTTTTATAAAGTGTTTTTTTAAAAAATGGTTGTTTCCACTTTTTTATTCTGCAAGGTAAAAGTTAAATCCTATTTTAAAGGGCCAAATACTTGATAAAAAGGTTTTTTAGCTGATCTGGCAGTTCTAGAGCTACATAAATAGTATCAGAAATTGAGAAAGAACAAGAGAAGAAAGTAAAAGCTTTGTAAAAATAAATAATATTTGCATTGTGGATTTAAGCCCATTTGCCAAGATTGTGCCCAGTGACATTTAGAACTGCCAAGTTATAACCTCTGAAAATAATGTTTAAAATGGAAATGCTGACAGACCCTCATTTACAAGAATTGTACTGGCCATTACTAAAAAACAAAACCAAAGCAGCAAGAGAGCATGACATTCATACCCTAAGTAAATTGTATGAAACTATTTCTATTCATGCTCATTCAGACAGTTTTCAGCTAAGTAACCCCTCCTTCAAAACAAACAATAGGTAGAAAAAAAAAGCCAAGAGGTAAAGCCAACACAGAAGACATAAGCCCAGCAGACTCTGCATTTTCATATAGCCACTATAATTTTATAGAAGTTCTTGAAGGCATCTCATTTCCCTTCCCTCAGAAAAGTAGCCAAAAAAGTGAACTTACAAAGGTAAAACTTTGACTGCAAAATGATAAATTGTTCATATCATACTGTGCACAGATCACTCATCCAACATAAAATTAAGATTTCTAATAATAAATCTGGGAACAAATCAGAAGGTTAGAGCCAAGCAACTCAGCAAGCCAATATAAAATGTGTATATCCCAAGAATATTTTAAGCAAATAGCTTAAAATTTAAAATATTACATATTTTAGTAATAAAACTCAACATCTGAAGTTATTTTACCCAGATAAATACTGTAAGTGTTTTTGATTCATCTGAAGCTTTGTAAGTCAGCAGCTTATTCAGAAACAGAAGTCAAACAGTATTTTCAGTTTCATACTTTTGGTCAACACACCTCTAAGAAGCATTTGAGGCTGACTATTGGCTAACCAGAGCCTGTGAACCATGAAAGCAGAGATTTATTTCAACAAAGCAGCAATACTTATTTCTACAAAAGAAGAAATATTTACATTTTTTCAACTCCTATTATTTGATTATATGATATGCAGCACATAAAAAAGCTTTGACAGAAGCTGGAGAAGCAACTTTGACATTCCTCTGAGAATTCATTCCAATTTGGTCAAGTTAAGAAATACTGGAAATCTCAATTTTCTGCCTATGTCACATTCCTATCACTTTAGAAATGCTAAAAAGGACAAGATTCTGGCATAAAAACATTCTACGTCGTTAATGTATGGATACACAGATAATAGACCACGTTGAAAGATGCCAAAGGGTCCTTGACAGTAGACATAAAACTGAATGCTAGAAGAAAACTAATGATAGTTTAAACTGATTTACGAGTTTCCAAATGGAACACCTGAAAGACCACATTAATTTACGTGCATTTCAATACTGAATATTTTTATTTTCACTGTGACTGGCCAAATCTGTCATGCAACAGAGCAAAGCCAGCTAGCACCGATGCCTTAGAAGCACAAGACGCCTTAGAAGGCATCTTTAAGAGCTGAGATATTGTTGTTTTGACTGATGACAATTGACAACTAAAAAAGAGTTATCATTTGTCTAGTGGCTTGTGCTTCTCAGGACGAGGCAGCCATCTGAATTCCTGTTTGGTTAAAATATGCTATATCTTTTATAACTTTCTTTTTACTTGGAATTTCTGGACTCTGTTAAATCCAAGCTAGACATTTTATTACACTTAGCGGGTTTACCACTAAAGGTTTACTTGAAAGTTTCAGCTAGTATCTCATTAGTAGCACATGAAAGAAATAAAAGAAAGAAAAGTACACTGGACTCTTAGGAGACACCAAAAAGACGACATTTTTCAAGGTAGTCCTACGCTAAACAGAAAGTATGCAGAAAAGATAAAGAAAAAATCACAGAAAGTACAAACCTGAAGAATCAGTATAATGTGCTTTTGTGATTTAGGACAAAGTTTTTGGAGAATTGCTAACACTTATTTTCCCTTTAACTGATAAATGGTGGGAATTACGCACTTATTTGTCCAAAATCATAGGATTAAGTCACAGGATAATTCACTTTGAGGACTGCAGTGCTGAAAGAATACTGCATAACAACCAGAAAATAGTATATTTTACTAGATAAGAGTATTTAATTTTAAGTACTTACTGCACAATAATAAGAGTAAATATTATATATATGTTCAGTCTAAGATGGCTAGATGAAAGACACTTTGTAAATGTAAGGTATACTCATAAACTTTCAGGCTTTAATAAATATTAAAACAAACAAACAAACAAAGAGCACTTACTTTCAGGACTTCTGTTTTGCCACTGATTACACTCTGCTGATACAGCTTTCCCTCGCATCATTAACAAGGAATGCTGCATAATAATAATAAAAAAAAATCCTTTGAAGTGTGCTGAGTTGCATCACCGTTCAGTGAGATAGAATGGGATAAAAATTCATTTATTAGCCTTGTATTGCAAAGAGCAAAAGAACAGCTGATTCCAATATATCACGTAATCCTTTAAAGAATTCATAAAGACTTATTCATTCTTATTTTCTTTCCCCTTTGTCCTCAAAAGGGGGTAAATCGGAAGCCTTCACAGTTGAATATATTTCTCCCTCATTTCTTTTACCATATCAGGCAATTGCTACTGAAGATGAGCTACTGAAAGTGTGACAATATTTGACATATATGTGTAATTTTGTTAATGATTCAGTCAAAGTGAATCTACTCTATCACTGTGCTTACTGAAGTCACATAAGATGGAAATTGATAAAACCCAAGAATTTTATCTAACAACCTAAATGTTTAATTGTTTATATGCTTCTTATTTCAAGGTGCACACATAAGTTTTATTTCATGTGTTGACATTTAGAATTTAAACACAATTACAGAATGAGACAATATTGCCTTTTTGAGTGTTCTCAAAAATTTGAGCGATCCAGGAGTTCAAATTTATGTGGTCGGTGTTGCTCAATTCATTTCTAATTCAAGCATACTTTCCTAATGATATCTACCAACAGGGAAAAACACTATAGTCCTCCCCAAGAAGGACGTTTCAGAGTAAAATTATAGATATTTATATGCAGTTTCACAAATTACACAAACACTGACTAGGAATTACTCCAAATGGCTATTAGAAGTTAGATCCCCCTGCATTTCGTTGGCAGCATTATTTATCAGGCTTCATAGCTAGACTGCAAGTAACTTTTTTGCTGCATGCAAATGAAACTTTTTGGCATTTGCTGGATATTAACATACTTCAGAATATATGAAACTTAATAAGATTAAAGCTGACTGCTTTAGAGACTAAATAAAGATAATTTAATTCACTTCTGTTGAAAACACACCAGTTCCTTAGAGAAAAGATTTTGCAGAGAGTAAGAAAAAACCCATTATCTTACCTTGGCATCTGATTCTAGCAGTTTTTCTGCTCCTAGAAGTGTTAGTTTGCTTTGACACTTGGTAGGAAACAAACAAAACAAAAACAGAAAACATGTTTACTTTCTCTTTTCTTTTGTAGGAGACACACAATGGTTAAAAATTGTTTACTATGGGGGGAGAGAGGGGAGAAAGGAAGGGAGGTGTGGGATTAATTGAATTGGTTCCAAGCAGCCCTCTCAGAGACTCACCTAAAACAGCAAAGTCATGTTTTGAAATTATACTATCGTAAAAAGATGGATCTTGTTGAAAAGCAGAAAAGCAGCAGATAACAAGAGTGTAAGTATGATTTGAGGGAAAAAGAAAGCAACTTCAGGGGGAAAGATTTATAAGAAGACAGACACTCAACAGAAGATCACAAGGAAGCTGGGAGGAGACAAGATTCATGGACACGGAATAGGGTTGTTGAGAATGAGTTACAAAGTTTTGAAATTTTTCAGATTGAAAACTATTGAAACTATTGAACATTTTAACCTCTCTTTTATCTGAAAATGTGAAAGGAAGGCCATATTCTCCAAGCCAAAAACAAACAAACAAACAAAAACTGTAGGTAAACAAAAATTCTGTTAGCATCTTATTGTTATACTTCATGAATCTAGATGAAGAATTCCCATAGACTATATTAGAAGACTCATTTTTTATGCATGCATTTGTGTGCAGGCACATGCACGTATATGTAGTGTGTATGCAATATAAAACAATACATTAAAATAAATATATATATATACTTAATAAATAGTAAAATATATATTCCTCATTTTTACTTATATACATGGATGTGTGCATTCCTATACTATATTTCCTGCCACATGTGGTGCAAATTTCTTAATTACACATCTGTTCAGATTACCTACAAATATTAACATTTTAGCTGTTTTTGAAATACTATATCATATATGTGTATATACATAAGGCTTTCATTCTCTGTAATGTTTTGCTTTAATCTACTTCAAGATTTGAAATACTTTAATTGTTATTTCTTGCTATTATTTCCAATGCCTTGCATCTACAACACAGAACTCAAGCAAGTACAGTGCAAAACATAACATAAAATAGAACTGTAGCAAGTAAGGCTCTCAAAACATAATTTAGAACATGTGTTTTCACCAGATTCAGAGTAATCTCACAAATGCATATGAAGCTTCTCATGAAGCTAATCTTCACAAGGATATTGCTTTATTTAAAAAAAATAAATAAAAAACAACTTTCTCCAATGTGTTACTAAAAACACACTGGACCACATGTCAAATGATACAGATTTTAAGCCTGAAGACCTGATTGTTGGTTTGCATGAGTGTACGCAAACAGCATCACCCTTCCCAGCCTCTCCCCATGTCTCTCATTTGTTTAAGGCCACAAGTATTTGTGGACTTCCATTTTGTATGAGGCTAAAGACCGAGAGATTCTCAGCCTTAGTTTGCTGGTACTACCACAGCACTAACAATAATTGTTTATATTTTCTGTAGTTTGTATGTTCTACCTGTTAAGATCCAATAAAATCGTAATATGATCACACTGTAAATAAAGACTGACATAGTAAGGTTGCGTTCAGCCCTGCCAACATTTCTACCTCTGGCCTTTGAAGGTCTGTTTTCCTTCTCTGTTGCTGTGAGGTGTGAGGATTTTGGGGAATGGGGTCCAGGGACAAGTATGATGAGGAAGCCAGGAACAGGAGGAGATGAAAACACAACACGGAGAAAAATTCACAGCAACTCTAGTCTACTATTCGTAATTGCTATACCTCTTCCATCTGCTTCCAAATACTCTCACATTCATCCAAGAGTTCTTTGGCTTCTACACAAGACACTAGTTCATCGACAGGTTCTGCAGGCGAAGGCTGGTGCTCTGGCACCTGTTCTGGTAATTTCTCAGCCTATTATCAAACAAATAAAACTGTTAGCACAAAGATTTAGAATATTTATAAACAAGATACTTAATCATACCTACTAGTTTAAGTCAAATGTCAAACAAACCCTTTGAGGCTATAAAGTTTTTGGTTAACTCTTCTGTAATTCTAGACAGCACCCAATCATCCAGTAAAATTATCTAACCGTATCACTGAAGTCAAATTTGAAATAACTATTTTTTTTCTCTCAACTTAATCACAGTCTTAAGTTTAAGACTGCTATGGACGATCTGCAATTGTGTGTTTTGTTGTTGTTGTCATTTTCTGAGGATTTTCTTAAAGAAACAATGAAGGAGTAGTACACATCTACAAAAAAGCATTCTTCTTCTCTATACCTGCAAAGCTCTTCTGCCTAGTTACTTTTCTCTGCTTTCCAATAAATGTCAAGAAGACTTCAAAGTCTAGGAGGTTAATAAAAGAAAAAAAAAAGTAAAAACAAACAAAAAGAAAACAAGAGAACTGGAATGACATGCATGCTGTTGAATGAAGATGGACACCAGTTTGGAGAGACGGGGAAAAAAATCATCGCTGGTAATATTTAAGTTTGAGGAGCTGTTGGGTCAAATAAAAACAAATAAATTTAGAAACAATAGCAACTAAGAGGAAAAAGAGAAGGGCCAAAGTGGCACTTTCAAAAGGAAAAATTTTAAAGGTAATCAATAGGAATTTCCTAAATATAAGAGATTCAGAAAGCCTTTAGGAATACTTAAACATATCACCAAAACTCTCAAATAGCTTGAGATGAAAATAAGATAAAGATCTAATGAAGAAGTAAATGACAATTTTGTCATCTTGATGATGCAGAAATCCCAAGTCAACTGTTCGTTCTTTCTCAGAACAACAACAACAAAGTGTCTGGAAAGATATATTAACAAATACATATGGACAAAGAAAAGCTTTAATTCCGGAGTTCAAGTATGCTGCTGTAGAATGGCTAACAAAAAAAAAATGTATCTTAAGAAGTATTCCAGGGAATTGAGACATAGCAATAATTCTAATAAGTTTTCCTGGCAAATTTGTTGCATCAATAATTAAAAACAGAACACTAAAAAAAATTTGGATGCCACGATCTGATAAGGCCTAAAGAGAACAGTTTTTGCAAAGGAAAAATCATTATCTTCCTAGGAGCCTTGGAATGACTCCACAACATGAAAGAGAACCAGTTCACATAATTTATCAAGACTCTGAAATGCCTCCAGCAAAGTCCCCCACAGAAGACTAAGAAAAGCCAGGCATGCTTGAGATGAGATGTAAACTTGTGGTTCAGAGCGAAAACAGGAAAGGAGACAAACACAGATGACGTGTGACTAGATAACTTGCATCCTGGCAGAAAGCTGGAGGGAGCCCTGGGTCAGGCAGGTAGCTTGGATTTAGCTGCCCTGCAGCCAAGCAGGCCCAGAGGAGACTGAAATAGAGACAGAAATGTTTGAGAGAGAGAGGTCCTGCTCCCCTTCTTCCCTCCTATGTGATTTCTTTCACCTCATAAAAACACTAACCGGTGTCAACCCCTATTTGAAACAAGCTGCAGTACACACATGCCCCTGCATGTATGTTCCCTCTTGCTCCCTCTTAGGGGTACATAATTAGGTAAGGATATTTACTTTCCTCCCCTCCACAATTTCTCCTCATACTATTCTTTTTTTGTTTTGTTTTCATAATACAAAAAGACATTTTGTTTCACTTTCAAACTTTCTAGAAGCTCTCCACTTTGCTCCATGAATAGGGAGTACCTGTGTAACAAAGTGTGTCAATGACAAATATATAATTTGCCGGAGGCAGAAGAGACCATGCAAGAGAGACCTCTAATCGAGGTCTCAAGGGAACAAGCAAACTTCAGGCAAAAGATGTTTCAAGTCACGTTCAAATTCAGCGCCGAGAAACGCAGAGACAAGAAAGCAGAGCAAGGGCAGGTCTGGGAAGAGAAACGTTAGGGAA